TCCTTAAATCTGAACATCACAAGAAATGCATTTTCAAAAATGCTTAGTTTTTAAGAAAAGCAGCCAGGATATGATAAACACAAAGTAGAATTCAGACTGTAACAAAGGAATGTGTTTTCCACCTGACCATTGAGATGAGAGTGAGAAAAATAAGAGCTGACTGACCCCTAACTTTGGAAAACAGTGTAAGACAAAATAAATATACACAAACACTGTACTCTAGCAGATAAATTCGTTTCTCACATGGGTATAGTCTAGCAATTTTGGAACTCCTTTATATGTTCACTAGGGTTGAACAAATAAATATATTTCTCATGATCATGAGAGCCAGGTTTCTCATTGTTGAAGAAGTACAGATAAGCAAGTGGGGAAGGCTGTAACGAACCTTGTGCTGGCTCAGGTTTGGTGGTGTTAATAAGAATTAGTTGAGATGGATGGATGGATACATAAATATAGTTATATGTATACACATGAGTATACTTATATATGCAGTTATGCATCACTCCATAAAAGTGATATGTTCTAAGAACTGCGTCATCAGGTGATTTCATCATTGTGTGAACAATATGTGTTCTTAACACAAACCTATACGGTATAGCCTACAATGCACTTAAGCTATATGGTATAGCCTGTTGCTCCTAGGCTATAATCCTGTATAGCTTGTTACTGTGCCAAATACTGTAGGCAGTTGTAACATGATGATATTTGTATATCTAAACAGAAAACCAACAGTAAGAAAAAAAATACTAACAAATATGGCATTAAAGATTTTTTTTTAATGGTATACTTGTTTAGAGCATTTTACCATGAATAGAGCTTGCAGAACTGGAAGTTGTTCTGGGTGAGTCAGTGAGTAAGTGAGTGGTGAATGAATTTGAAAGTCTAGGACATTACTACATGCTACTGTAAACTTTATAAAACACTGTACACTTAGGCTACACTAAAAAAAAAAAGCTTTTCTTTAATTATAAATTAATTTCAACATACTGTAACTTTTTTTTTTTTTTTTTTTTTTTGAGATGGAGTTTCACTCTTTTTACCCAGGCTGGAGTGCAATGGCGCGATCTCGGCTCACCGCAACCTCCGCCTCCTGGGTTCAGGAAATTCTCCTGCCTCAGCCTCCTGAGTAGCTGGGATTACAGGCATGCACCACCATGCCCAGCTAATTTTTTGTATTTTTAGTAGAGACGAGGTTTCACCATGTTGACCAGGATGGTCTCGATCTCTTGACCTCGTGATCCACCCACCTCGGCCTCCCAAAGTGTTGGGATTACAGGCGTCAGCCACCGCGCCCGGCCATACTGTAACTTTTTTACTTCATAGACTTGTTAATTTTTTAACTTTTTCGTAATAACAGCTTAACACACATTGTACAGCTATACAGAAACATTTTCTTTATATCTTCATTTTATGTGTTTTTCTATTTTTGAAATTTTGCCTTTTTTACTTTTAAAAACTTTTTTGTTAAAAATTAGAACACACTGGATTTTATAGGCTAAGAGTTTAAATAATAAAAATAATTAGAACACAAATGAACACACTAGGGTAGGCCTACACAAGGTCAGAATCATCAATATCACTGTCTTCATCTCATATATTGTCCCACTGAAATGTCTTCAGGGGCAATAACATATATAAAGCTGTCTTCTCCTATTATAACAAAGCCTTTTTATTTGATTTGATTTTACTTTAAGTTATGGGATGCATGTGCAGAACATGTAGGTTTGTTACATAGGTATACATGTGTCACAGTGGCTTGCTGCACCTATCAACCTGTCATCTAAGTTTTAAGACCCGCATGCGTTAGGTATTTTTCCTAATGCTCTCCCTCCCCTTCAACCCAACCCTCAACAGGCCCCGGTATGTGATATTCCCCTCCCTATGTCCAAATGTTCTAATTGTTCAACTCCCACTTATGAGTGAGAACATGTGGTGTTCGGTTTTCTGTTTCTCTGTTAGTTTGCTAAGTATGATTTCCAGCTTCATCCATGTTCCTGCAGAGAATGTGAACTCATTCTTTTTAATGGCTGCATAGTATTCCATGGTACATATGTGCCACATTTTCTTTATCTAGTCTCTCACTGGTCAGCATTTGGGTTGGATCCAAGTCATTGCGATTGTAAATAGTGCAAAGCCTTCTTTTGGAACACCTCCTGAAAGACCTGCTTTTACAGTTAACCTGTTTTACAGTTAACTTTTTTTTTAATAAATAGAAGTAGGATACTCTAACAATGAAAAGCCTATTGTAGTAAATACTAGACAATGGGATTTTTTTTGGCTGCATTATAGTCTTACAGGACCATGGTTGTGTATTGTATGCTGTCCATCATTGACCATAACATTGTTATATGGTACATGACTCTATCTCCCTAGTGTTGTCTACTGAGAGGACCCTAAAGCATGAGCACACCTAGCCCCTAGATTTGGTTTGTAAATACTATTCTCCAGTAAGAAGAACCAAGACTCCTTGGGGAAGTAGTTGATTTCAGGGCCAAGACAAGTAAAATTTAACATGAGCTTCGAGACATTTTGTGGTACCTGAAAGTAAAGAAGTACATTAGAAGATGAGGCATGTTCACAGGACATAGGGGCACACCTTATTATAATACCCAATGGCCAAAGCTGGAACAATGTGAGCAACAAATTAAATAACAATAATATTTTATTATAATCTAAAGAATAAAACAAGTATCCACATGTCCATACATACAGAAGAATTTCAATTAATAATGTAGAATAAATGAGGGAACCATTAAAACACCATAATAATAGTTGTTGCAAGAGCCCTAATGAATGTTAAAGTTACTGGGTAAAGGAGAATTAGAATATTTGCATATTTACAAGGTATCTCCCCCAAAACACTTACAAAGCTAAATAGTAACTTTACAGTAGAGAAACATATGGGATACTAACTTAAATTATAACCAGTAATAAAACTTGTCCCCTGGATCTAATGCATTGAGAAGGGTATATCATCTATGTGGAATCTTTCCCCAAAAATGCATAACCTCAATCCAGTCATGAGAAAACATCAAAAAAAAAAACAAAACTAAACTCAGAAGATTCCACAAGATAACTGATCAGTACTCTTCAAAGTGTCAGGGTCGTAAAGGACAAGGAAAGACTGAGGAACTGATGTGAACTGGAAGACATGATGACAAAATGCACTGTGGGATCATGGATAGGATTCTAGACTAGAAAAAAAAAAAGATAAACTGGTGAAATCCAAATAAAGCCAAGTTTAATTCATAGTGTTGAACTTATATTAATTTTTTAGTTTTGAAACTTTGTACTATAGTTATTAATATATGTTAACATTTGGAGAATGCTGGGCATAGGGGAATTCTGTCCTTCACAAATCGAAACTTCTTTCAAAGTAACAGTAAAATATTAATTTTTTTGTGAGAATCCAATTTTGTTTTCACATATCTCACAATTACTGATAAAATACCAATAAAGAAAAAAGGGCTATTTTTCTCAGATCACCATCGTTATCAAGCAGTTTCAGTTCTGTGACATATTTAAAATATGTTTTGGTTATTGGCAAACTATGAATCTGACAAAGGTCTAATATCCAGCATCTATAAGAAACTTAAACAATTCAAGCAAAAAAAAACCAGCCCCACTAAAAGAGTGGGCAAAGGACATGAGCAGACTCTTCTCAAAATATACAAATGGCCAATAAATATATGAAAAAATACCCAAAATTACTAATCGTTGGAGAAGTACAAATCAAAATCGCAATTTGATACCATCTCACACCAGTTAGAATGACTGTTATTAAAAATAATAACAACAGATGCTGGTGAGGCTGCAAAGAAAAGGGAAAACTTATACATCATTGGTGAGAATGTAAATTAGTCCAGCTACTGTGGAAAGCAGTTTTTAAGTAATTTATTAGAATATGTAAAAAAGAACTACCATTCAACCCCACAATCACATTACTGGTTATGTATCTAAAGGAAAATAAAATTCCATTCCACCGAAAAAAAACCGCATTCAGAAAGAACTACTGTTCAACCCCACAATCCCATTACTGGTTATGTATCCAAATGAAAATAAAATTCTATTCCACCAAAAAAACCCACATTCACTCATATGTTTATTGCAGACCTATTCACAATAGCAAAATCATGGAATTAAACTAGGTGCCTTCAATGGTGAATTGGATAGAGAAAATGTGGTACATAAACACCATGAAATACTATGCAGCTATAGAAAAAGAATGAAATCATGTCTTTTGCAGCAATGAGGATGCAGCTGGAGGCCATTATTCTAAGTCAATTAATTTAGGAACAGAAAACCAAATACTGCACCTTCTCACTTGTAAGCAGAAGCTAAACATTGAGTACACATGGACATAAAGGTGGGAACAATAGACGCTGGGGACTACTTTTATGGTGGTTGAGAAAGTAGCAGCTGTGACATGCCAAAGCACTGGGCATGGCACCCCATTCTAATTCATAATAGCTTTGCAAGGGGTTTTAATATTAGGGACTAGACTGGTTATTTGGGAGATATTGTTTACTATTATCCATTGGGCTCACTCTAACACTTTTGCTGTTTTCTGTTTACCTAGTTCTATGCTAGACCCTGTAGAAATACATAAGTCAAAATCATGATTCCTGCCAACAAAATCCCACTTGTTTGAAAGAAGACAAACATAAAAGCATTGTAATGGATGAAAAGACAAGATTTTAGAGATTTTATGATCCTATATTTATTATCTCTTCATTAGCAAATCTGGCATTGGATATTTATTTAAACTCATTTATTTCCTTATCGGTAATAGAGGATATTAATATCAGTCTTATAAAACATTACCATGATCATTAATACCTGGCACATAGATATTTAACAAATAGTGGCTATTATAATGGTGGTAGTTATAAAAAGTGATAGACCATTGGAATACAACGTAGTTTTTTGTGTTAAGTAATGTTTTTCTTTGAATATTATGGTAGGTGCTTGACTTAGTCTTTGTGCTTTCTCCCTTTTAGAGATGATGAAGAGAAAAAAAAGTCTCCCTCAGAAGGTACTGATGAGAAAGCTAATGGAACACATCCAAAGACCATCAGTCGTATTGGAAGTACAACCAACCCATTTTTGGACATTCCTCATGATCCAAATGCTGCTGTGTACAAAAGTGGATTCTTGGCTCGGAAAATCCATGCAGATATGGATGGAAAGAAGAGTAAGCATCGTGTTATCATTTTCCATTTCATTTATTTCATCTTTATGCTCAAAATTTAAAGTGAATTTATCTGAAAGTCAAGGATGAAGAAAATTATGTTTATCTATAGACATATTATTGAAATTTGATAAAGCCTCTAACCCTAAATTAAATATCCAGTGTGGCACTTGATCTTCTCTAAGCAGAATCATAGAACGTTAGAAATGGAAAACGTATTACAATTTATTCATTTTCTAGCCTTTCATTCATTTTTTTAGTCATGGCTTCTACAAATAATACTGACTACCTACTGTACCAGGCACCAGAAATATAGTGGTAAGCATGATGGACAAGGTTACTGTCTTCATGAAGTTTATATTTCTGGTGGTAGAGGGAAAGGTTAAATTTGCAGAGCATAGAAACATTAATGGTATAAAATCCCAGAGACAAAGGTGGAGGGAGGGAATTCATATCCAGCACATATGTGGAATGACTGACCTTTAATTAGGTGGACAGGTAAGATGTAGGAGAGCATTATATAATTATTTTGGGGAAATCGAAGACTTCTGATATCTCTGTGAAGTATGAAACATGATTATCTTGATAGATGATGATGTTAGGAGTTTGAGAGGAATGAAGCATGCTTATATAGTTAGAATAATCTTTGCAAAGTGAAGTGGCAATTTGATATAGTTGAACAGAGTAAGGTAAGATGACGTGTTGCTCAGAATTATCTTTGGGGTGAAGAGATGAATAGTCCCATCTCTATCGGTAGCTGGATCTTTTTCCTTAATGTGTTAGCATATTCTATTAGCTTGCAGTTGAGAGAAACATTGCAGTGCAGTGGCTTTGACATGGACTTAGCAATGATGAACAAATTTCTTAATGTTCCCAAGATCTTTAAGACTCCACCCACCATATTTTCTGTGCATCTTGTTACTAGGTTACTAGACTACTTAATTTTATTTCACAACATTGTGTCAGAGTTCATATAGTTGTAAGTGACAGCAAGTCACTCTATGTTAGGAAAAGGGCACACCTGAAAATGAAAATGGACTGTCACCAAGATGTACACTTCATTTGTCTCTCTGCATGATTTTGTGTGTCAGCATTATTCTTTGGAATGAGGTCCTTTATATGTGGTTATTAGCAGCACTATAGATCATGTGTTTAATTTTGACACTGAAGAGGATTCTTATTCTTCCCTAACTTCTAACTTAGTCTGTTCCAGGACAGGAGTCTGACTTGTATCACTGATAGGATGGAATATTATGATTGACAGCCCCCACTTGCTTGCAATGGCAAGAGGAATGAAATACTTGCCTCAGAGAATGGGAGTTCTTGGCACACAAAGTATTACATACCCATTTATTTCTTTCCAGTGTGCACACACACCCTTCTTCATATGTTGAATAATGCTTTTGCCAAACATTGCAGTTTTTCTTTTACAACCACAAATATACCGTCTCTCTGTAACGTACCTGTCCTGCTGCAACTTCTGTCTCCAAGGCTAAGATTTATTGATTGTGTTCATTCCCATCAGTCAGGTATGGATGGCACTTCAATCTATAGGCTAAGTGAAAAGTATGAAAATACAGTTGTCCCTTAATATCTATAGGGGATTTATTCCAGGATCTCTCACAGGTACCAAAATCCAAGGACACTCAAGTTCCTGATATAAAATGGCATAGTATTTGCATATAACTGATGCATATCCTCCCATATACTTTAAACTATCTCTGGATTACTTATAAAATCTAATACTATGGAAATAGTTGTCATGTTTTATTCTTTGGGGAATAATGACAAAGAAAAATATCTGTACACATTCAGTGCAGACAAAATTTTGGAGGAAATATTTTCCATACACCATTGGTTAAATCCACAGATGCAGAACCCACAGACATGGAGGGCCAACTGTATCTTACATAATTCACATGAAGTACTAGAGAAAAAAAAATGAATAATTCCAGTTCAAGAAAAGGCAAAAAGAAGTATAACAGCTGTCACTTACTCAGAGTATATACTAAATCCTGCTAGACAAGGATACCAAAGTTAACCCATGCAAGCATCTTTTTATTGAATCACTTTATAGCAATGGGTTGACTTAATTTGGTTAATTTATTCCAAAGTCCCCAGATTCTACTGATGACATTTTGTCTGTCCATTTTTTCCCTGGACCAAGTAGCCCAGGAAATCTCCTCTATTGGAGGATTCTCCTGGTAGAAGCTCTTCTCCCTCAGAAGTCTAGTACATATGAACATAGATTCAGAACCTGAGGATTGCTTAGCAGTACCTGAGGATTGCTTAGCAGTTGAGACATCACAAACACCTTGTTGAGAATTTCTGGTTGGTTAAGGAAGTTTTAAGCATCATGGGGCTTTGTCTTTGTAGCAATTTAGGAAATTCTTCCTGTTTTCCAAAGGAAACTGCCTCTGCTTGTCTTTCTCTGTTCCTCCCTCAGAAATAAGGGGAAAATATATGGGTCAGTTGAGTCAATGCCCATTTCCAGGCTTTTTTCCTGTCAGTTGCTTTGTCAGTGGAAGACTTCTAACCTCTGTTTTTCATGGCGCTATCAGGAGGAGCCTGGAGGTTTCAGCTGCCTTTAATTCCTCAGGCTTTTCCTGGATATCCCCATTCCAATTTCCCATGGTTTCCAAATCACATTAATGTTGGCAGATAATTCAGCCTTATAATATAGAATGTGCATGATATCTAATAATTTACAGAAACTAAAATTCACCAATTTAGAGTATATAGTTTGAGTTTTTTAAAATGTATACAGTTATATAAACATCAACACAATTAAGATAAATAACATTTCCATTACCCAAAAAAGTTTAATTCTACTTTTTACAGTAATTGCTTCTTCTCTTACTACCAGCCTATGACAGTTGTAGCAGACAATTATCTGCTTTTTGGCTCTATACTTATGCCTTTTCTAAAATTGCAATAAATGGAATCATAGGACTGTTTTGTGACTGGCTTCATTCACTTAGTGTTACTCTTTGCAGATTTGTGTATAGTGTTAGGCGTTGTGTGAATTATGTTTCTCTCTTCTTATTGCTTAATAAGTATTTCACTATTTGGATATCCCACAGTTTACTGATTCATCAGCTGAACATTTAGATTGTTTCCAGTATTAAGCTATTATAAATAAAGCCACTATGGACTTTCATGTACAATTTTTTTTTACATATACATATGTTTTCATTTCTTTTCAGAAGTTACCTAACAGTAAACAAGTAAGATTGCTGCACCATATGCTAAATATACGTTTAACTTTATAAGAAATTTCCAAAGTTTTATGCCATTTTGCATCCCTTACACCTAATGTATATTGTGTCTTCTTGATGTTTGACATTTTTGTCATGAAATGATGTTCTTCACCCCTGGTTATATTTCTTATTTTAAAGTCTACTTTCTCTAATATTAATATAGCCACTTTAGTTTCCTTTTTAGTTATTGCATGTTCTACAAATTTTTTTTCTAGCTTTATTTTGTTAATTTATGATTGTATCTTTAAAATTGCTTTCTGTTATATGGAATATTGGTGTGTCTTGCTTTTTATTCTAAATCATATTATCTGTCTTTTAATTAGAGTGCTTATGCCATTTATATTTATAGTAGTTATTGGTATAGTTGACTTTAAATCTGCTGTCTTACTACTGGTTTTTATTTATGCCATCTGTTTTTCTCCTTTCTTGTGTAGAATTGTCTTTTGTGTGTGATTCTGTTTTTTGTCACTATTGGCCTATTTGCTGTACTTCTTTATTTTAGTGTTTGCTGCAAGGTTTACAGCATTTTTAACTTGTCACAGTTCACTTTCAAATTGTACTGCTTCATATATAGTTTGAGGCCCTTATATCAGGTTAATTCTCCTTATCACTTCCTAGCCTTTGTGATGTTGTCCTGTATTTTAATTTTATGTTCTAAAACTTACAGTAGTTCATTGTTAATATTTTTGCTTTAAACAGAAACCTTTCTTTACTTTTACCCCCACATATCCGCTGTCAGGAATTTTTGCATGTTTTATCAGTATGAAAATATTTTCACCTTAATTTTAGAAATTTATATTCACTGGGTACAGAATTCTTTAGCAAGTTCTTCTTTTTTTTCCTTTCAGTACTTTAAAGATAATGTTTCATTTTTCCCTGCCCTGCAGGATTTCAGACAAAAAAGCCTGCTATCATTCTTATCTTTGTTCCTCTGTACCTAAGATGGCTTTTTCCCCTGTCTATGAATGCTTTGAAGACTTCTCTATCTCTAGTTTTCATCTATTTTATTATGAGATGCCTTAGTGTGATTTTCTTTGTGTTTTCCTTATTTGGTGTTTTTGGGGTTCTTGGATGTATAGATTCATTTGTTTTTCAGCCATTATTTATTAAAGCACCCACTCCTCTTATGGGACTTGTTTCCTGTATGATACTCATTGCTATCTGAAGGGTTTACTGAAGCTCTTTCTAATATTGTTAACTCTTTGTCCTTTCATTACTTGATTTTGATAATTTTTATTCATCATTTACTTCATTTTTCATTTCATTAACAGCATGTTTATCTTTGAAGTTCAACTGCAATCTATTTTATATCCTTCATTTCTCTCCTCATCAGGTTGGTGTTTTTTTTTAATGTCCTTGAATATATTTTTTCTGTTTGTAATTGCATTTTTAAGGTCCTTCTCTTTGATTCCCTTGCTTTCTGTCATTTCTGCAACTGTTGCATTAATTTTTTTTCTGCTGGCTTTAGTCATAGTTTTTTTTTTTTTTTACCTTTTTCTTTGCATTTCTTGTAATTTTTATTTGAGTGCCAGACATTGTGAATTTTCCATTTTTCAGGTGCTGCTTTTAGTTGTATTCATTTAAAAAAAAAAGTGGATTTTCTCCTGGTGTGCAGGTGGTAAGTAACTTGTAGATTAACTGAACTCTTTAGAGGCTTGCTTTTATCCTTTGTTCTGGTGGATCCAGAGCAGTCTTTATGCTGGGATTTATTTATTTCCACTAATAAGGCATTCTTACTCTTCT